TTTTTAAGAAACAGTATATTTTAACTAGACCAACATGGTAATTTGTATGAAATAAGACAGCTTGCTTAATTAATGCTCAGGCTCCTTGCAGGTTTCAGATTCTGCAATTAGGAAACAAATCATGGAATCATCATGTAAGAAGGACCTTTGACCAAACCGACTCAGAGTCATTCTTAAAGCTTGAGTATTTCCTAATATATTTAGGGCAGATTTCCATCATGTGAGACTGTTTCTCAACCCCTAAAGTACAAAACCTGGCAGCTTTCTGATTCATTTAAAATTGGACGCTTTTCTCTCATCATCAAGGGTCAGATTTTCTGAACTCATCTAAAATCTGAGCAAAATCATCTTATAAAGCCTACTGCTAACATTTATTTCAAATCACAACTCCTCCACTTTTCAGATTTGTTTCCTCATCCTTAAAATGAGGATGGTGAGAACCGAGCAAGACCTGTCAGGAGCGATAAATGAGACAATGTCTGTAAAGCACTTAGCAGAGCCTTGGGATACAGGAACAGTCCATAGGTGTTGTCTAGCATTTGGATTGTCATTCCTACTGCCACACAACCAGGGCTGTCTTGTCTTTCAGCTTGTTAGGTAGTTAGATAAACGGGGGCACTGGGCAGATATGCGGAGGAGTGGGAGGATGGTCTGGAAGACGGCGGTCTGCCCACCTCAGCATAAAGGGGCTTCACTTCCTCCAAATGAGTGCCCGCAAGAAACCGGTAAGAACTCGACAGTCGAAAACTGCAGGGTCATGACAAGGACCTAACCGTACGTGGCCCAGTGCTTGTTGTAATATAATTAGCATGCGGTTTAGGCTCCCCTGTACAGCTTTTTCTGTGTGCATCACGGGTAAGGACATGCGCAAAAGGGGACAAACATGACTAAGCCCTCCAGGGGCAAAAGCCGTCAATCAGTCAAGAGACCACCTCCAAGCGAGGATGTAAGAGAAGGGGACAAACAGGGACCAGTGCTGTCTGCCCTGGGATCAGCCCTCCTCCTGTTCTTGGAGGCGTGCGTTCCCTTTGCTAATAAAACCTTTAAAATCTTTCACTACACAATGCTCCGTCTCCCATCTGAGTTCTTCTCTTTCGGGTAAGACAAGGACTGGGGTCTTTTTCCTTCCTCTTGTGGGGTAACACTTTCTTGGTGCTGTGACTTGGAACCTCCCTCTAACCTCATCTCTTTATCTTGCTCTCCCTTCCCTCCTGTCTCAAGCTCAGGAACTTCTAATGTCTCCATAATTACCCGTGCCAGACATTTGTGCAGGAAGCATCACTGTTCGCAAAGACTTTCTCTTAGGCTTAGATTAGGTTAGATATGAATTCGGATCTGGCTCAGTCCAAAGCTCGAGCATGTTCTACTTCACCACAACCATTATGGAAAAGAAGGAATCCTGGGAGCAAAGCTGGCCTTTTCTTACACCTCTTTTACATTTGGGGTTTTGCTTAAGATCTTTATTTTTAAGGGTCTTGCAGATACCAACAACACACACATACACACGAAAAATACTCTGACGTGATAAAGCCCAGCTTCCTTAGCCTGCCACTGAAGAGTCCGTAATCGGGCTAGAATTTCTTTCTCTAGCCTCCTTTCCTCATTTCTCTCCTTCCTTTTCTGCACAACCTACTTCAGCCAAAACTGACCACTTGTTCATCATGCGTTCTTCAACCCCAGACGCTCAGCCCTCTCCTGAATCTCAAATTCTACCCTGTTTCCAGGCGAGGCAACAAAGTCAGCCCTTCAGGGAAGGCTTTCTAGAATCCTTCTCAGAAAATGCTTCAGCTTTGGATTGAGTCAGACCTAAGTTCTTATCTGATCTTCACCCCTGACTAGTTGTTTATTGGTGGATTCTTAAAAAAATGTTGGCATGTTTCTTGCCTATAAATAAAACCCTAGGCTACAGCGCTGATAGGAGAATTGATCGCACAAGCAAGGAACAAAGGCAATCTGAGCCTCAGTCTCTGTCTCAGCACATCAGCGATTGCTTCCTGCCTTGAACTATGATCATTTCTTCCACTCGCTTATTTATGGAAATGGTACACGAAACAGCGAGAGAGCTATTTGGTGAAAACAATTTGATCTGGATTCCTAGTCTCATTCCTTGCACCAAAATAAATTTTAAGTGAACCGAAGTTTTAAATACAAAAAAGGAAAAAACAGCAACAAAAGAATGGCAGAAAAGACAGGGGAATTTATTTATTTGGAGTGGAGAAGGCCTTGCTAAGCAGGACACAATAATCAGAAGACTACAATGAAAGACTGACCATTACAGCTAATTAAAAAATTTCAATGTTTCTATGGCAACAGAAAAAAAAACCTGTAAAAATTAAATTATTTCACATTAAGACAAAAATTTTGCAACACAATGAAAGGCTAACTTTCTTAATTTACAAAGAGCCCGTACATATCAACAAAAAAATGCTGAATATTTCAATAAAAAAATGGACAGTGTTTGGGCAGGTAGCAAAAACATGAATTGTGAGTGTGAAAAGATGTTCCATTTTGCTAATAAAGAAATATAAATTAAAGGAAAGAGATACAATTTTTTTAACCTATTGGATGAGCAATCATTAAAAAGATAGTATTTGGTGCTGACAATGGTATAGGGTCACAGGCCTTCTCACGTACTGTTTTGGGGGTGCAAATTGGCATTATTTTCATTGTGTTCAACCTTAGCAAAATTTACCAAAACAAAAAAGCGACATTCTTTGATTCACGACTTCCACTGCTAGAAATTCAGCTTAGAAATAAATTCGAGACCTGCCCAGTAGTAAGCTAGTTGCAAAACTGTTTGTAATGGAAAAAAAGTTATTAATGGACGCCTGGTAAATTGAGTTAGGATGTAACACCAAACACGAACACCTATGCAGTTATTAAAAGAGAATGATGTCCATGAGAACATTTCTAAGAAATAGTAAGTGGAGGAAAAAAGTGTCTCCATTTGTCGACATTTGAAATGTGGAGCTAGGGTGGGTTGAGTGTGTATCAATACGCTACACAATGCAAATATTTTTTCTAGAAAACTATGGAAGAAACTGAGAAGTGCTTATTTGGGGGGAGAGGAACTGAGTGAGGAAGAAGGGGACATGTGAATAGAGGGGAATTTTCCTTTTATGCCTTCCGCAGCCAGCCTAGGGCCGGGGCCTGGTATTCCTAACTTTGTATATTAGATCTAAATTGTGTATCTACAATAAACAGCTCAAATACTGTGGGTGTTCTTTCCCAGCTGTCAGGTAGGTCAACTAGAGAGGTCTGAAGTCTTGAGCACTAGACAGCCATTAGGGAAACAGTACGGAGATTCCTCAAAAAACTAAGAATAGAGTTACCACATCATCTGGCAATCCCACTCCTGGGCATATATCCAGAGGGAACTTTAATTGGAAAAGATACATGCACCCCAATGTTCATAACAGCACTATTTACAATAGCCAAGACGTGGAAATAATCTAAATGTCCGTGTAAAAATGACTGGATAAAGAAGATGGAGTACAACTCAGCCATAAAAGAGTTGCAGCAACATGGACGGACCTAGAGATTATCTTACTAAGTGAAGCAAGTCAGACAGAGAAAGACAAATATCATATGATATCACTTTTATGTAGAATCTTTAAAATGATGCAAATGAACTTATTTACAAAACAGAAACAGACTCACAGACATAGAAAATAAACGTGTGGTTATCAAAGGGGAAAGTTGGGGGGAGTGGAGGGATAAATTGGGAAACTGGGATTTGCAGATATTAAATACAATACATAAAATAGATAGAAAACAAGGTCCTACT